ATGTTTTGCTGGTCAAAGGGAAAATATATATAGTTCTGATTTTTTTCCCCTCCCGTTTATCTACAGCTCAGATCTAGAATTCTGAAGTGAAATAAAGTAGCGCTGTAATCATTTAATCTGTAATCGCAAGTGAGTAACCTAATATTGAAGCTTGCTGGTTTAATTAATTGTAACTGACTTGGAAACCAAAGTTTTCCCAAACTTGCGATCTTAAAGAGGCCGGCGGGTCCTCTAACTCTTGTGGGTCGCCACCACTTGCCATACTCGTCCTCAGTGCTGCTATCTCTGACTCACTCTCTGGACCGTCGTCGACCTGACAAAAGACGGAGCTCGCCTAAGTTGGGGCTACAGATTATGTGTTCCTAAAGAACCCGCGTATCTAACAGTAGTTCCGCATTACATTAATTAATTTGCACGCAAGTTTTATTTATTTTTATACCGCGTGTTCTCAGTGTAAATTCATGCACCGAACCGTGACGCCCGTACCGTTTCGGTTCAATACGAATACATGTACCATTCCAACTAGGGATGGGAATTGAAAACCGGTTCCACTCGAGAACCGGTTCTAAGTTTTACGATCCCTTGATATTGTATGCCCTCAACGTTAACGAGTCCTCTTATCGATGCTCCTGCTCTGTGTCAGCCATAGTATGTAGGCTACAGACCGTGAACTCACAACTGTCCCTTTTGTCCTTTATCAAGCACCATAGCACGGCGTCCAAAGCGAATTTTTGTACCGCCAAAGTCTTATTTGATCGGTGAGTAATGTAGATGAACTGCTGCGCTTGTGACAGGGCCATAGACTGTAAAAAAAATATGGACGTAGTGTCCGTGACGTCACCCGTAGGTTTCTGAAGAGCGTTTTTGAAGCCTAAAGTGGGCGGGGCCAGCCGTCGCCATCTTGGCAGCGCGTCACCTTTCGTCACTACCGGATAACAGAAAATGGGCAAAAAGGCAGGACGTAGGTGGAGCTACTGGCCTCGCGTTAAAGTGGCAGCTGATCGAAGAATTAAAGCCAATAGTTTAGTTCATGTTTTTGCCCAAATATTATAATAGGTAAAAGACGTAACTAAAAGTGAGACTGTATTATTATTCTGCTATAAAAATGTATTATCATGCAGTAACTTACAATATTGCTCTGAGCTTGTGCGTGTGACAGTGATTCATGCGCATACATGTCAGTCAGCATGGCATCGCACGTCAAGTTTGTAAAGAGCTTTGTTCAGTCCATTTCAAAATCTGATTTTGGCCACCTCTCAATTATTCAAATGGGTTAAACCAAAGATATTACCTCAGAAGTTCAAGTAAATGCACTAGAAATCCGCGCTCATTCAAGGGTGTGCATCTACTGCATGGACGGAGAGAAAGCACTGACACCTGCAGGATTTCATCTGACGGTACTTTCAATAAAAAGTTAAATAAGCATATCTGTTCCGTGAGAGCAACAGTAGGCTACCGCATTTAACGAGTGTGTATGGTCTCTATATCTATAGACTTTTTTTTTTAGCAAGGAAATTGTCAGACATCCATTAACGTTAGTGCATGCGAGGAAAACAACTGAAAATACAGTTCTCTCCATACTCGACAACGACGGAATCCAACGGCGTGGGCGGAGGTATAATGCGTGTATTAAATTGTATGAAATAATCCCGAAAAAAGCACAAACACGGCAGAGATGGCAAGTACAGCAGCTGCTGGAATAAGCTCAGAGTGACGTTAACAGACAGCAGACAAACGGCCGCAATCCACCTGTCACTCAAGTGGCCACGCCCTTAATTATGCAGGCTTAATATAATTTAAACGGATGAGTTGTAAAAAAAAATTCACCCCCCTCACAGTTGTCATGAAGGGCAAAATAAGCTATAAAGACCAAAACCACTTTTTGCTCCAGGCTGTAAACACGTTTTTTTCTTCTGTAAAGTTGGGCATTTTAACATGGGGGAGATACAGATTTGACTCACTTCTGCAGCCTGCCCCAAGCAGCCAGTCGATGAATTGCAGTTTAATTCACTTCCGTGTTGGTTTCAAGAGAGAGACAGGGAGGTTGCCGCTTGGACAGGGCGCATGTTTAACTGAACGAGCAGAGAGAGAAAGAGCCCCGGTCGCGCACGCGCACTCTCTCTCTTCGGAGCAAGGCGGCTTCACCGTCTCAAAACTTAGCGCTGTCTTGCTCTCTCCCTCGCGCATATTAACCCTCTGGGGACGGATTGGGCAGTACCGCCCAAAATGGCATACTTTTACAAATGTTTAAATACCTTAAACTATTAATGATAGAGAGGTGCGGTCTTTTTTTACCGTCTTCCTCAGATTCCGCTGAAAACAGTGATAACTTACCCGGCTTGTAAATATACACACTTCCTTGTTGCGCAATACCACTATGTAAAAGGCCAATGAAATCGATGTTTGGCAGATTCCGCGAACAACAACCAATGAAAAAATTGCCGATGGAGAAATATTTTTCTTATCCAATCAGAGGAAGGTTACCATGACGTATCTAGCAAATCAGAGGACTCTGTAGCCTTGCAAGGGGTGGTACTATATAGTTAGGGATATGACGCAAACAGCGTTGAATGGACGGAGAGAAGGAGAGAGAGCGAACGGAGGCTTACGGAGCGGATTATCAGAGAAAAATGAGAGCGAGACAATTATAATATATATATTTATATACATACAATTATAACATTATTTATTGTTTTAGCACTTTTATGATGGCAAGCAGTAAACGATTTACGGTGGAACAAGCTCTGGAACAATTACTGGAGAGTGACGAGGAGAAAGCATTGCTTAGAAAATTCTAAGCATTCCTAAGAAAAACGCCTGGGACTATTTGTAAATAAAGTTAAATTTTTCATTGTTCTTTACACATTTTATTTAACAATTACACATGTCTGTCAAGCAAAGGCTTTGACAAATATATGTTTTGTTCAAAAACTGTTCACTATTGTTGTGTGATGTGTGATTTTCAGAAATAAATGACAAAAATCTAATTTCCGTTTTTGAAATTCTCTAGTTTATTGTACATTTTTCACTCATACTTCCTTTATAAACACATTACATGCATGCTTATGTTAGCTTAGGGTCTTCTGAATGCATAGATACCAAACACATAGTGTTCCATCTCCATTACATATGGTTTATAAGCCCAAATGTAAAAATAGAGAAAACGGACCAAAAAGGGCTTAGTCCCCAGAGGGTTAATCAAAATAAACAACACGATGGTAAGGTCGGGAGACTAAAGTTTCATGTGGAGCATTCGGAGATTTGTTTTTCCTGAATTAGGCTACCGCTGGGGGTGAATAATGCTAAAATATGTTGCCTTATCTTCTCTGAAAAGCGTTCCGCACATTCAGCTGACATAAACCACACTTTAAATAAACGAAAAAAACTATCCAGTGATGAAATGTTTTCTGTGATGACACATCTTGTGGGATGTCCCAACCGCCGGCACACGTCCGATAATGACACGTCCAATTCGTGAACTAATGACTCATTTGAACCGATTCGTTTTAATGAATGGTTAAAACAACTGACCTTTCCAACACTGAACTCACGGTACGTTTAATCGGTGTATAACTAATCGGTAACACTTTACAATAAGGTTCCATTTTATTACATAAATTACATAAAAAGTACAGTTTGCTTACTCAAGTGTAAGCTTTTAAACAAATAAAACCACTTGGTTTTTTCCCCCCGAAATAGCATGACTACTTTTTTCCACAAAGTGCTATCAGGAATCGATAAGAGAATCGTTAAAGAATCGGATCGATAAGATTTTATCAATATCAATGCCACTAACGATTCTGCTTATCAATTCCCATCCCTAGTTCCAACCCTATGTATCACACATTCTGAAAGTTGCCATGAAACTGAATTATGACTTTTTTCTTCTTTTTTTCTGCATTGTGATGTATTGTCCGTTCTGATTTTACAGATTATCAAAAAAGAAAAATGTAGGTTGGGGACTTGGTTTTATGCATTAGTTGAGTTGAGTTGAGTTAACTTTATTGTCCCCGAGGGGAAATTTTGCTTGGGCGCAGTGCAGAGTTGTTTCATAAAATAAACATCATACAAAACATCACAAATTACAAAACACATCAACAAAAACAGAAGCAAATATAGACACAGAAGAAAAAGGGACATAATTGACAGCACAATTCCATGGATTAAAGTGCAAGTGCTTAAGTGCTAGTATGGTATTTGCAGATTACTCCATTGTATTGAAGTTTTATGTAAAGTGCATATGCTAAGGTGCTAGTATATATATTGCACATTGCCCTATTGCACTGAGATCACAAGTAAAGTGCTGAAGTGCTCACACAGTTTTATTTCACATCGTTCAGCAACTTAATAGAGACTGGCACGAATGATAATTTTAAGCGATTACTTTTGCATTTTGGCACACGGAGTCTTCTTCCCGATGGCAAGGTTTCATATTCAGGAAAGAGGGGATGTTGAGGGTCTGATTTAATTTTCATAGCCTGTTTTATAACTGCCTGATCATACAGGCTCTGTATAGGCTCATATTCTCTCCTCCCTATAACTTTCATGGCTATTTTGTGCATGTTAGCAAGCTTATTTTTCACCTTAACTGTTAGGTTGCCAAACCATGCAGTAATTCCATATCGGATGACACTCTCTAAGATGGCATGATAGAAGATCATCATGATACGACTGCTCACACCACACAACCTTAGGCGCCTTAAAAAATATAGCCTCTGCTGTAGTTTGTTACACAGGTTATCAACATGTGTATTCCAACAAAGAAGACTGTCGATGTGGACACCTAAATATTTGTATGAGGACACCTGAGTTACTTCCTGGTTTTTAATGACCACTGGCTTGTGGTCTGTAACTTGCCTCGGGTCAAAGACCATCTCCTTTGTTTTTTGGATATTTAAAATTAGTTGGTTGGTGTCACACCATTTAACAAATGTGTCATTTAACAAAAGTTGTTGATTGAATTTTGAGATGTGGCCGTTATGTAGAGATTTGTGTTTTAGGTCCAGTTACCCAACATTTTATGGTGCCTTTCGGTGTCAGAACTGTAGGACCAGTTGTCCATTTGGTACCAAGAAGTGTAGCCATTGTGGCATTCACGTTGCAATTTCTGAGGACAAAGTCTGTGTGTCAGGTAAGATGATGTTCGAGTCCTTCTGTAGGCTTTTGAAACTTCATTAGCAGCTAGAGCACTGATTATTACTTTCTGGTTTAGAGAATGAGAAACAACTTGAGCTGCTGCCAAACAGTGTGAAAGAAGAGCTGAACGTCTTCACTGCTCAAAGTGACGTCACAAAGCAGAATATTAATTTAGGTTGCATGCAGAGTACCTTAAACGCGCAGAAAGCTACACACAGACAGAGTTTTAATGATGGGAGCCCTGCTGCACATCATCCTCCATACAGTAAAGGAATGTGTCCCCATGCCCAGTGCCTGTCTCAGCTGTGGAAGGAAGTAGAGAACCGGGAGGACACCAAACACTTCAAGGACACAACAGCCCAGGCGAGCTTCTCCCTTGATATGGAGCTGGATAAGCAGAGTCATGTTCAGAGAAATGACTATATCCAAAAAGATCAACACCAATTGTATGATCAAATGGACAAAGCAGATGACCCCAATCTGGATCAGGAAGGGATGCCAGAATACTACAGTTTCAGTAGCACCAGCTTGGACCACACCGTATGGAGCGATGGCAGCCGAAGTACGGAGGCAGGCGACGATGATTCAATCATGGCCACCAAAGGCAGTACAGAACTGTCAGATGAACCTTCAGACGCCACTATGGCCAGTGATACTTCTGCAAACTCCACTGATTGTTTCTCTTGTCTCAGCAATACTTTCGATCTGGCTGATGAGTCCGGAGACAGTCATGAAGACCTGCGAAAGAAGCAGGACTCAAGATACGAGCAGCCGATAGAGGAGGTCAATGTGGGATCTTCCGAATCTGGTACTTCAGTTTCTGTGGACCAAATAATAGATGCCTGTGGTGATTTCAGAGCCTGCTTCACATCTACATGTGCAACAGAGCTTGGTCAGATCTTCCAGGTGGAAAATGTTGCCACTGACACTGACTTGCTAGCTGTCAGCCATGAGAAAGATACACAAACTGTGCAAATGGCCACATCTGAAAAGAACACCATTACTGAAGTCTACATGTCTGACTTGGATGTCCTCACAGAGGTATCATATATAATCGTGCGCCTAATGGAGCGCTTGGAGTTGTGATCTTTTCAAATGAGCTGTGAATAATGTGCTGATCATTTACTTCTAGGAATTCATAAAACTTAAGGAGACTGAGAAGGAGCTGCTAAGGAGTAGAAAGGCAAGGTAATGTGCTCAAAAATTAATCATGTCTTTCCAAACCCTCAAGACTTTTGTTTGTCTTTTAAAAGATAATAATGTAATCTGAGCGATATCTGTCCCTCCATTGAAAGTCCATTCCACCAAAACTTTAATGCTTCAAAAACTTAATGAAATGATCAGTTACATTTTTTATTTTTTTACTTTTAACCGTATATTTTTAATTTAGTGGCTATAAGTGTCTCTCAGTGTCATTATTGTAAAAGTGTAATGTTGTCCGTACTACTGTAGCAAGCTGCACGAGTGTTCAGAAAGCTGTTGTCATGTGATGAATGTTACTTTCTGAAATGAGAGATTATGGTGATTGCTGTATATGATTTCCTTTTGTCTTTGAAATGAACAAATTAGAAGAAAAATTCTCCAGTAAGACAAACAACCTGGGGATTTGGCTTTCTGAGACTTCAAGCGCCCCCTTGAGGAAGACAACTTTGTATTAGTTAGCTTTGTAAAACAGTGCTCCAGTCTTAGTCCATGTACTGCATCAAAACATTTGTTGTTTTTTAAGCAGCATATATTAAAATAATCAAGAAGTTTCATGTGTCTTCTCAGCCCTGGTCCTGGTCCTGGTGGTAACCACTGCAGGAGAGTCTGTGGGTGTGACTGTGCCCAGCGAGTGAGAAGAACAGAGCTGCGTCTTCTCGCTCTTCAGTTTGTCATGTGTCAACAGCACTGCTGGAGACGCTACTTCACCTCCCCACTAGGTGAAAGTGCTCATCAAGGGTAAGGGATCGCTCAAGGAAGAATTTCTATTACGAGAATTCACTATTTTTCTATTGAGGTATTCTATACTAACTTTGAGGTCAGCTATTTATTTATTTTTTGTGGTATTCTATACTAACTTTGAGGTCAGCTATTTATTTATTTTTTGTATGTACCTCAGTACTGAGGCCCTGCCAGACAGCATAGCAGAAACTCTGAATACACTACAGAAAGATTACCATGAGATGAGGAGACGGATTCTGACAGGCACTTCTCTGGATGACCTCAGGCCCCTGTCAGTAGATTCTGAAAAGATAACTACAGGGACAAACTACAGCCCAGCATTGGTATGACAGAATTTGAATTTGGAAATGTATTGCATCTGAGATTAGTAGGTAATACGGTCTCATTTCAGGTACTTGATGCCCATTTAGACTTATTTGACAGTCCAGAAAGGTAAGTGGTCCTGATGTGTCAAATAAAAATCATTAAAACTAACTAACCTTTACACAAAAATTAAGTTTTCTGACTGCCTCCCCTGGTATGAGTTCTTTATTGGAATGCTGGAACATACTGCTGCCACATTACACATTTCACAGCCAGGACGCTGGAGGCGAGTGGTTCAGTCAATTCTTTGCTAGATTTTCAAGTCAAAACCTCCCTGAAATATCTGTAAACATGTATATACTACCATTCAAAAGTTTGGGGTCAGTAAGATGTGTGTAAAATGTATACTATTATTTTTATTCCTATTATTCAGCAAGGGCGCATTAAATTGATCAAAAGTGACAGTAAAGACATTTATAATCTTGCAAAATATTCCTATAAATTTTATTATCTGAGAATCTTTTAAAAAAATTACCACACTACATATTAAATCCTGATTGTCACAACTACTGTTTAACGTTGATAAAACATGTTTCTTGAGCATCAAAACAGCATATTTCAATGATTTCTGATGGATCGTGTGACACTGAAGACTGGAGTAATGATGCTGAAAATTTAGGTTTGCATCACAGGAATACATAACATTTTAAAATTTAGTAAAATAGAAAACAGTTATTTTAAATATAGTAATATTTCACAATATTGCTTTGGGTTTGTACGGTCATGGAAAAACCTAGGAAAAGTCATGAAATTCCCAGGCCTGGAAAATTTTAAAAAAAATTAAACCAGAAAGATTTGGAAAAGGCATAAATGTTTCACAAATATATGTATAATAGAATGTTTAATTTGATGTTGGTTGAACAAATTACAATACTTAGCTTTCATCATGTTCTCTGCGTGGGGTAACGTCTTGCCCGGTTTCAGCTTATTCTGTATTAAACCACATAACTCTGCTCAAATTCCCCACAATTAATGACCAGATGTTAGATGTTTCATGGAATGGTAGATCATGAATATTTACCTCAAAAAGTCCTGTATTGGTAAAATGTGAATGAACCTTGATTAATGTTTTGCTGTATTTTTTAACAAATACATGCAGACTTGGTAAGAATAAGAGACTCTTTCGAAATCATTTAAAAATCTCACCGACCCCAAAACTTTTGAACAGTAGTGTAGATGAATAAATGTATGAATGACACCGTTTTGATCCTATAGTAGTGCATTCCATTGTGGCTTTTTGTCCCCACATAATATCAGCATGTCTGCCTTTGCAGTGGTTGGTAATGTACATCATATTATTTATTGCCGATTGATGCATGTGAAAAAGTTCATATTTGTTTACGGCCTCATACATGTTCAGAAGTGCCAATTATTCTATGATTCTGCGTAGTACCATTGCAAGTGGTCCCGGAGTGGATGAAGAAAGTAAAGAGACGAGAGCACTGAACTCTGAAGTTTGTCAGGACACTGAAGCTGCTCCGGTAGTTAATTCACATTCTTCCCTTCCATTTATTTGATAATTGTGATAAATTAATAATTGTACCTGAAATATATGAGTGTGTTACATTTAGAATAGTCAGTACAGTTTGTTCTCTGAATAGGATGAAGCAAAATGTGATGGCAACAAGAGAGATGAAGTCGTCTTTTCACACAAGCAGCCAGGAGCTTCCACTGAGACGACCCCTGGTATGAATATCAGATTGAAGAAAGAGAAATAAACTGGAATTGTATTACAGTGTGTTATATGGTAGGTGCCATCAAGGATCCAAATGGCAGCGAAGCTTGGTTTGATGCAGAGGAGGAACTTGGGTCTCCAAATCAAGATGGAAAAACGGAGAAGCTGATTGCAAAGAGGGAAAGTATGAACTACAAAATTAAGCACAAAGGTGTAGTAGGTTAATTGAAACTATGCGTGGTAGTGATGTCTAGTGAATCTTCTTTCAACAACACCCATTAAGGCCTATACTTAGAAGTGCAGTTTGAAAACTCAAATTCTGTTCTGGAAGAAAGCCTCATTGCTGTTTGATTTGGTTGACTAAATAATCTTTGATCAATATATACTTTTTCTCAGGGACTGATGAAGATGATTCAAAACAAAGTTCCATCTTGTGCGTTACATGCTTGCCAGACAATGTCAGTGAGGTAGGGTGCCCACAAATGTAAGCTTTTCAGTAAAGTTCATTATGGCCTCTAGAGGGCAGCAGACACCACTAAATGTTGTTTTCTTTAGCATGAAGTGCTGCTTTGGTTTGAGAAGTACAATGCTATGAATGTCAGTATCTCCACTTTCAGCAACAATATGAGGTAAGCATTCTCAACATGCTGATTTGATCCCACATATGCCCAAAAGCTAAGATTAAACACTGGTTCAAAGTTATAAAATAGCAATCAATACCAACATCATTATTAAACTTAGTATTTACTGCATTTCAATTTCTCTAGACACTATTTAACAGAATCTCAATAAATGTTATCAACTTTGTGTCTACTTAGTGAGCAAACCGTTTAGGTTAACTACAGTGTATTAGTGTAAATAAGTCCTGAACACTCTCAAAAGGTTTCCTGCTTCAGGTGTGTTTGATTAGGGTTGGAGATGAACTGTGCAGGACAGTTGATCGGCAGGAGCAGGATTGGGCACCCCTGCTTTATAGACTTTGTAGTAATGCTGAATGCTTGTAGTTCCAGACTTCCAAGCATCGTTAGAGATTATAATTAATGAACCGCAATCTTGTCTGTGCTTATGTAGGGCAGCTATTGTTTATCTCAAGAGCTCCAGCGACGCCAAGGCAGCAGTTGAAGATCTAAATGGTCGCTCCCTCCAAGGTCACACTGTCCAGGTGGTGCAACTCTGTCGGGCTGCTTTAGCTGAGCCTACACTGAGCGATCCGTCTCACAGCACCTCAGAAACTGCAGGGGATGGACTTGGAACAAAGGGCGTAACCTACAGTCCATCACATGGAGTAAGTATGAAGTGGCAGGCATTTTAGAAAGTTTGCTTTGTCCAGAACTAGTTAGATTTCAGTCACTGTAAGGGATTTTAATACAGTTTCTTTAAATTATTGCTTTTGATTTTCTGTTCCAAACCCTTGATATCTGTCATGCGTATGTTTTTGACTCAGGGGCCGCGTTGTAGTGTGGACAGGTTGACCAATGTGTGCGACTCGCCTACAGCCTCTGGTACATGTGTGCCACAGCACTACGCCACAATGGGAAGCTTTGACACAATCATGGCCCGGATGTCGGAGCGCCACCCAAACATAGGCCGCCAAAGGATCGTGGATGCCCTGCTGGAACTGCGGGCCAAGCATCAGGGCTTCCTCAGTGGCCTTCCATTGAGATCTATAGTGGATATGACCTCTGAGCTTCTCACACAGGCCTCTACCCCCACATGCATTTGAGTTTGTGCTGTTTTAATCAGTGGTTCGTTCCCTGACCAGTATGATTGGATTTCACTTGGCAGTTCCATTTTTGCAACAAACTTTTGTTATGTATAAACATTTTGTTGTAATCTGTTGTTCCCAACACCTCCTCTTAGTTGAATGTTGATCCTGGAAGTGGAGGAATTAATACGTTTTTTTGAATTTCAGGCTTTTAGCTCTGCTATTACCAGAGTTATGATAACTGCATATATATAAGTTTCCTTGTGTTTCTTAAATAAAACTGCTTTCCTGTGCATTCTTTAATGGTTTGATTAGTGCAAAAACAGGCCAAGTCTAAAGCTACACTATTTAAGTTTGAACATTTTAAGCCAGGTCAAGGCCCTTTTGCAATTGTAAAAATGGCCAGTGGTGAAGGAACTCTTTTTATCACTCCTGTCAGCTCGGGGAAAACCAGAACAACCTTATATTATTTGAGCTACCTAATACCACTTCCACAGCTCTCAGTGTAGGACAGGTGGCGATGTAATTAGTGATGGTCACATGACTGCTGACTCCACTGGATGAACTTTCCAAGCCAGATCTTAAAGGACTTCTGTATTTAATATACTACTGACCTATCAAAAATATATTAAGTTTCATGATTTATCAGTTTAAAGTGAGATTGGTTGATTTAGGTTTAAGAGCTAATTCTAATTTGCTACAAAAAAAAAAAAGTCTATAATAAAGGTTTTCCCCCCTCATACATGACTATCGCCGTCCTTCGCCTGATTGGTAACTACTTTTGAATGACCTGTTAACTGTCCAATCGGAGCATGCTTGGAAGTCGCCCCTACTAGCCAATCGCAGTTGCAGAGGGCGGGACTTGTATGAAAACTGATTGGGGGGGGGGAAGCTAAGTCCTGTCTGGTTTCCCATGGGCGGAGTTTTAATGTCAGGGACGCGGCAGGCACTCGACTACTGAACTTTCACGCCGAAAACAACCGGAGGATGGATAAAAAACGGCATGTTCACGAAGTTTAAATGTTCTTGCGACTGAAGATTTGAAAGCCAGTAATGGATGCAGTGCAGGCTGAATTATTGCAGTGGACCTCAGACAGAGCGCGACAGTAACCAAATAACTTCGAATGTGGATTATTGTTCAGACGCCGCTCGGACTTTCACGTTAATTACTCATGTGTTTACCAATGCAGTTCTCTGCACTGGACGCTAACTTCAGTCATGGATGTGCCGCTGTGATGTGGAGAGGATGGACAAAAAGAAGATCTCAGCCACTCACTATATAAAATAATACAATCTTTTTATACAATTGGACAAAATCTCTTTTGATGTTGAACGGGGTTTTGATTTTGCAAGGAATAATGTGGAAACTTTGCCCATTTACACGTCACCCGGCTCTTCTAGTTTACATGGTCTTGGAAATGTTTATTCACAGCGTCAATGGTAAGTGTTTAGTGAAAGCACAATGTCGTCGGTATTTAACTCAAAGGGACTATCGTTGAGATAAAAAATAAACTTGCATTTCTAATCTGCAGGACCAAATACGAAAAATAATTTAATCAGATTAGTAAATGCGAGTAAAGAAACTGAATTTTGTGAAAGTAAATAATAAATACATGTAAATGTTTTTTTTTTTTTTTTTTTTACTCAATAGTTTCTGTAATAATTAATTGCATTTATTTGTTTATTTATCATTTCATTTATTTTTGTTTTTATTTCTCCATTATGTTAACGAGGGGTCGGTTTGTCATAGTTACTTTTCTGAGCAATTCCGTGTCTTTATTGCGATGCTTCTCTTGTTTGTATCTAGTCCTCAGTTGTAAGTGTCTAGATGATAGAGTCTGAATTATGCGCAGATTCAAAATTCCTGTTTGACTTGAATTGGACTCTCTTTTTCCCGCTAGGTCTTAATGTTTGCATGAGCGGCAGCGCCTCATCTTGTGAAGAATGTTTCCTCATTCACCCGAGCTGCGCCTGGTGCGCGCAAGAGGTGCGTGCGCCCACATTCCTGCCACACATTGGCTGACACTTAATTTTTGAGTGTGGCTGTGTGTCTCACTCTCAAACTACTGAGCTGCCTACCTAGACGGTGTTATAGGCATCATAGACTCATTCAAATGTCGTCTGGGTAGGCAGACAAGCCATTGCTTTATTAATTTTAATGCACTTAATTGAACTGTCGACAGGTTACTAAGACCCTGCATTTGTGGGTTTGCTCATTTATTTAATGGTTTCCTTACATTGCTTAGACCGTGATCTTTCTTTTTCCCTGATTCAGGACTTTGGACAGGCCAGAACTCTCACCTCACGATGTGACTTTAGCCAGAACTTACTGAAAAGAGGATGTGATGCTCCTTTTATAGAGAATCCCAGGAGTGGCAGCTCTCTGTTGCTGAGCAAACCCCTGAGCTCCAAAGGTTCTGGGGTGACCCAGTATGATGTCATCCAGATATACCCACAGAAGATCTCTCTCAGCTTAAGGCCTGGTATGCATCTATTCTGCTGATAGATTTAGAGGAGAAAAAGAATGAAATAAAATGTATTTGTAGATCAATTTATATGGTCTGTTAATGTAGTGACTCCTACTTCCATTCTTCAGGTGACAAGATTTCCTTTGAGGTACAAGTGCGCCCTGTGGAAGACTACCCTGTTGATTTGTACTACCTGATGGACCTCTCACTCTCAATGAAGGACGATCTGGACACAATCCGCAACCTGGGCACCAAACTGGCTGAGGAAATGAGGAAGCTCACTAGTAACTTCCGCCTTGGTTTTGGCTCTTTTGTGGATAAGAACATCTCACCCTTCTCCTACACAGCCCCCAAGTACCAGGACAACCCATGCAATGGGTAAGAGACGTCTCTTACAGATCTGTGATGAGCTGTAAACAGGTTTGGGATTGGCTTTCCCTTTGTTATGCAATGAAAGAAACTGAATGGAAGGAACAGCTACTCGTTAGTGAGAACAGTTTGGAGACACTTTCTCATCTGGGGAAGTGAATATGTCTTCATTTATTTATCTTGTATTACTAAAAATAGCCCTGCTTTAGCGTAGCCTTGTCTTGGAGAAAAGTGCATCATTGGAAATTCAAAAGCCCTTGGCATGTCACAATTTTGGACTTATCCAAAGTCTTATGTCACACTCAAAAGTCAAAACTTAATCTAGTTCAGATAATCCTTAAAAGAGAATCCTGCTGTCACTGGTGGTTATCATTCTGATCCAATGTAAAATAATGGTAGACTTTGAAAAGTGTGACGGAGCAGATTGAGGTTGCAAAGCCAGTACAGCACATGTCCCAGAGAAGCTATTACTCCATGCAGCCTGCAGCCCATCATGCATCAGTGGCCATGTAGGTTATGCACTCAGCCCTGTTGAATGCTCACTGTACCACAACAGAAATCATAGGAACAGACAATATGTCAACAATCATGTCCCTTGTTCTGCAACTATTAAACCTCAAATATTATTTAAAAACCCTGACATGGCATTGGCGTGTTATTTTCATTAATTTGATGCATTTAATTTAAAGACTATTTATTATGTTTGAACATACTAATATTATGTACATTTAAATAATCTATAGAAGTTTTTTTGTTCTGAATTTTGAATGTATAGTAGTATGATATCAAAAAGCACAATATTAGGATTAATTTAAGTTATGTTTTTAGTATTGCTGTTTAAGCTCCTGGTGTTTATCGTTCCTCTCTTATTACAGATATAAGTTGTTCCCAAACTGTGTCCCCACATTTGGCTTTCGTCACCTCTTGTCTCTTACGGACAAGGTTGATCGTTTCAACGAGGAAGTGCAGAAGCAGATGGTGTCGCGTAACAGGGATGCACCAGAGGGGGGGTTTGATGCCATTCTGCAGGCTGCAGTTTGCAAGGTAAGCAGTCAGTCAGGACTGGTCATTTTGCTGCTTCTTCAACTCCCTATAGGGAGACAGCTTTGCTGTCTAGAGTTTTATCAGAAGAGATACAGGTGTGTCTGAGACTTAAAAGAGACACGCTAATATTGCCTGACATCATAGGCTGTAAAAATATTTGCTTTGCCATGAAAGGCACAATCACAGCATGCATGAGAGAAAGAGACTGCGGTTTACGCTGAATGAAAGAGGAGAGCCTTGCCCATTTATCCGCTATACGTGTTATTTGTTTGTGAGACTAATGAGATCTTGCGTTTAGTGTTGAATTTGCCATGTGTTTCTAAAGCACTAGTTAGCAGGTGCTGTCTGCTAGATTGTGTAGATTTTAGGTAAAACTGTGTAAGAACGGTGGCTAATCACCAATTGTAAACCCCCTTTTGCCTTAAATTAACTTTGAAAAAGAAATTGAAATGGTCCTGTTGAAAGATTTTGTATTTTCACTCATAAGATTCATTTACATTGTGACTCTGCCTTAGATTTAATCAACTCTGCCTCAGATGTAATCAACTCTATCTGTGTCTGTAAAGGTGTGAACCAAATGGTCCATACAGGCCCACAGAAACTGATTGGTGCGAATGACAAAGAAACAGCATTGCTCAGAGTAGATTGCAGGGTAGATCAATCTCCTGTGGGAGGCCCTAACAGTTTTCTATTGTGTGTAGCCCATTTGTTTTCATGTATAAAGTTCTGTCTCACAGACAAAACTTTGGGTTAAGATTGTTGAAGGGCGACATGCTAACATCGCTGCTGAAGGACTGCTACACTACAAACCTTCAATAAATTCTTCTCCCCACAAGGCCAAATACAGCAAAATCTAACACTGTGTTGACATGAATGTTTAAAAGTATCTATTTAGTCTTTAAATTAATATGAGGCCATAAAAGCTGCTTGCATAATAAAAAATATATATAAATGATGAAACAATTGAACAAAATGTTTCACAAATGTATTTCATCTACTACTTTATACTACTACTACTTATTTTTAAATGAATGTATTTCTGGAAAATGATCTTATACAGTATGTGTGTTTGATTTGAAAAAACGCTGATAATGTCCATATGTTGATACATATTCTGACAACTGTAATATAACTGAACTGATCCATCAACTATAAATAAAACTGTAAACTATATCCATCAACTAACAACAAACTAATTGGAATAATTATTAAAATAAAAATCCACTGTGTAACAATTATTGAACG